CCCGCACGTCTCCCGGCTGTGCGGCCGCTCCCCGGTGTGCGTGCGCCGGTGTCTCCTCAGGCTGGAGCTGTGGGCAAAGCCCCGCCCGCAGTCGGCGCAGCGGTAGGGCCGCTCCCCGGTGTGCGTGCGCTGGTGCCGCCTCAGCTTGGAGCTCTGTCTAAAGCCCCTGCCGCAGTCGGCGCACTGGTAGGGCTGCTCCTCAGCGTGCGTTTGCCAGTGCTGGGTCAGGGCGGCCGTGTCACCGAAGCTCTTGCCGCAGTCAAGGCAGTGGTGGTGATACTGCCCCATGGGGAGCCTTGGGTGTGTAGCCAGCTCCGGGCTCTGTCTGAGTTTACCCTGGGGACGGACTGTGTCCTGTGCAGGGCTCTGGAATGTGGGACCCTGCTTTCCTGCCACGCTCTCCCCACAGTCCGACGGTGTCCTTGTTCCTCCTGGGACTCCAGGCGCTGCTGGAGAGAGCAGAGGGAACCCCGGTGAGCTCATGGTTAGGGCTGCAGGTTCATCAAGGAACCATGGATCCATTTCCCCATAACTGGTGTTTGGATGGGCCCTTCACCCTGCCAGGCAACTCCTCACCCACAGGGCTAGACCCACCATCTCGCACTGGGCAATGACACCTGGCCTGTGGTTAAAGTGCCACTCACATTTGTCCCAGCCCCCCGCCATGACAGTGGGGGAAGAGGGCCAAACTTCACCAAATGGCACTGTCCCCCACCTGCCCTGTAACCTCCTTCCCCCAGGCTGGGATTAGGGTTGCAGAGCTGCAGGGAGCGTGCATCTTTGGGCGGCATGCGCCCCGTGGGCCAGGCGAGGAAGAGGGCTGGTTCTATTAAAAATCATGGAGCCATCACAGGAAATGTAGCGACCCGGGACTGTAAGTGCTCTGCAATTTTTGATACCCAAAGCTGTAGCTAGTCTGTGGCCTGACGCCGGGCGGTTCTACCTAGTGGTGACTGTGCAGCGCCTGCTCCCACGCGCACCGTTTGGATCTTGTTTTATGCTTAAATTGTAGCCTGCTCAGGAAACGTGAAGCACCGGGCACAAGAGGGCCCTGGTGCGGTTTTCAGACTGATTTTCTTCTTATTTCAATCCGAGGGGTTTATTTAGATGGTGCAGGGCTGTCGCTTTTTTCCTTTTTTATAGCATGAGGCCTGTGTTTGAAACCAATATAAGTAACACAGCGCAAACTACATTAATTGGTAATACATCTGGACGTGGTTAAACCAGTATAAACCAGCATTAGTGCCGATCTACACTATGAGCACAGGTTGACCTATGCTAACCTATTTGAGTTACGTCAGTCATGTAATTCAAATCGCCATAGCTTAGATCTGCTCACCGCGGGAGCCACACCGGGCTGGGTCAACAGAGAAACTCTCCCATCTGCACCCTTACTCTATACAAGACGCAATACACTGGCCCCTGCTTGATCTATCATTGCCCATCAATCCAGGTCAGAGCAAAGATGCCCTTGGAATAATATAGCTTAGTCCCGTGGGGGACTGAGTCCTTTCCAAGGAATTCCATCTAATGAAGTCATTCACTCTGGGCCGGAACTAAAATCCGGGAGAGGGTTGGGGTTTCTTTTGGAGAGGGTGGGGTGAGAGAGGGTGGAGGGAATGACACACTCAGGGTGTGAGAGAAGCAACCCCAGAAACACGTTTCTCTCGATTCACATCCCCATCAGCGGTACTGCTGAACTGGAAGGGGTAAGTAGCTGTCACCCAGCAGGCCTCTGAGCTACGAGAGTCGCACATGCCTTGAGGCGGAGAGGGGTCCTCAGCATAGACAATGAAGAGCAAGCAGAAGGAGAGGGGATGTGACCAAGGCCATTCCACCATCCTCTCTCTCACACCCAGCCCATGCACCAGGATGCGCCCAGCTCCTGGCTCGCAGGAGAATTCCATCTGGTCCCCAAATGCATCCTCTCCTGCAGCAGCAACTTGGAACATGGGGCAGCTGCTGAGCTGAAATGCTTCAAGTATCTAAGACTGTAAGAATAAGGCCTTTTCCTGTAGCTATATTGTACAGTCTGAGGCTTTGCTGCAGACACACAAGGAGAGCAACAGCCATTAGTCAAGAAGCAGAAAGTCACAGCCTCACATTTCATCTACATTACATTAACGAATGGAACACAGGGCTGTTAAGAAGGTGATCTTGTCCTAACAGTACCCACCCTTGTCAGCTAAAGAAACAGATGCATCTGACGAAGTGCGTCTTTGCCCACGAAAGCTTATGCTCCAATAAACCCGTTAGTCTATAAAGGTGCCACAGGACTTCTTGTTGTTCTTGCAGATCTTAAGATGGTTAAAGAAAACTTATTTTGAGAGCTTTGCACTTGGCAAGAATCTACTGAACACTCAAGGGTGCGAACTCACATTCCTTGATGGTTTTCTCTCTATTGTTTCAATATATCGTCTCTGTCTGGTTCTCTGATTGTTTCTGTCCATCACATATTTAATTGCAAATCAATCCAGGTGGTGGGGCATGACTGGTTAAATAATGGGGTTTTTTTTTACTGTATGTTAGGATTGGTCAAAGAATTATTTTGTCACACTTAAGCAGAATGGAGGGTTCAGGCTCATCTCAGCAAGATTCAAGGTTCATTATAAAAACTGGGCTCCAAAAGGAAGTTCTTTGGGAATCAAATCTGATCCAAGATCAGAGCTTCCTGCCTGCCCCAGCCAGAGGATCTGCCCCAGCCATTCCTGCCTGCAGCCCAGTAATTCCTGGCGGAGTTAGAGCTGGGCTTTAAGAGACGCCCCATCTCCAGTGACACACTCCCAGTGATCAATAATCCACCCTGACCCGACCGGACCTCTCCCAGCGGTTCACTCCTCTTCCATAGCAACACTGGCACCCGATCCCCAGCCTCAGCTAGTCTCCCCTCAGCACCCAGGGAGCGACTCTCGCTCCACCTTCTACATTAAGGAGCCCTCTCTGAGCAGCTGTGCAGATCAGAAGGGACGGGAGCGTTGTCACTCACCTGAAGACTCTCCCTCCGGCCAGGAACTTTCCTTAAAATTCTCGGCATCCTGGATCCAGAGCTCTGACTCCCCGAGCTCGATCCGGCAGATTAAATCCGGGGTGGAGCCTGAAAAGCCTGCGGGAGGGGACAGGGCGAGTTTTATTACTCAGGTTTTGGGGTCAGGGATTGGTTTGGGTTTGGGAGCAGCACAGCACAATGGGGCCCCATCTCGGACAGGGTGTGTCTGTGCAGCACCTGGCATGGCCAGGCCCCAGTCGCAGATGCTGACGCTGCTTCAGAGGTACGCGCCAAGATCCCAAACAGGAGCATACAGAAGACGTATTTCAATAGAGATTTCTCCCTGCCTCACACCAGGCAATTTCACCTTGTACTCTGAAGCAGCAAGGTCTACGATCCCTCTCAGTTTGCAATGGGGGTTGAGTTATGGCAGGTGGTGCTGGTACAGGGACCTATCAGCTCTTTGGCTTGGGGTGCAGGCATTGTTCAGCCAGAGGGTTGTTACATGCACCATGTTCCTTCTTTTGGAGGAGGTGGGGAGCTGTGACAAGCAGCAGGAAAGGTTTTCTCCCTGCCTTATTTGCCTGGGTGCTGTTTGCGACCACCTCTGTGCCAGGACTGAGGTACATAAGGCAAGTAGAGAAGTTACACTAAGATTAGCCCCAGGTTCTGCAGCCCTGCGCTCTGCATTGGCAGGGAGCCGGCCTGAGCCATGTTCCTTCTTTTGGAGGAGGTGGGGAGCTGTGACAAGCAGCAGGAAAGGTTTTCTCCCTGCCTTATTTGCCTGGGTGCTGTTTGCGACCACCTCTGTGCCAGGACTGAGGTACATAAGGCAAGTAGAGAAGTTACACTAAGATTAGCCCCAGGTTCTGCAGCCCTGCGCTCTGCATTGGCAGGGAGCCGGCCTGAGAGGGGCTGGCATTTGACATTTGCCACCACGGGGATGCAGCCACACCTGGCAGCTGTGGCCTGGAGCGGGCCCAGACACTGCACCGCTTTTAGGAAAGGGGACT